GGACATGACGTAGAGCGGGGGGAGTGGTTAAGTAGGTGGGTGTGTATTGAGGTGTTTAGGATAAGACAGGGGGTCTGTCAGGCAGAGGAGTGGGGGAAGGTAGATTGGTCGTTGTTGGGTAGCCAGCAGCAGACTTGTGGTGGATGGGCCGCAGTATCAAACCTTTTGAAAAATAGGTTCAGTTCCGCTCCACTCGGACTTCCAACCCATGCCACAAGTCTTCTGGAACCTGGTGATGGTTTGCATGCCACTCCACACATTCCTTATGTTATTTTTGTGACAGCATGTTTATAAATTGCTGTATGATCAGTCAACACCTGCCCAGTGTTGCCCTTTATAACTGTGAATGAACCTTTTTTGTCCATTCTTACACTCTAGACCAAAGAAAAAGTGAGATGGAACATCCATGTGGGCTAGATGTTGTAAACGGGACCTAATGAGAGCCCACTGAGCTGAGACACTCAGCAGGTTAGCTAAAACACACTGCTTAGCTTCAAGTCTCTGAGTGTGACGTTGGTCTCCTGTGGCTTCAAATGAGTCTCTGAGCTCCTCCACCTCATGGCCGGGATGGTCATACATCCTGGCCATGGTCAGACATCTCAATCGACTTCTTGACGGGGCTTCCGGCTTCTCAACGTAACAGCCCGATCCTGGTCTGGGTTGAATATGCACACAATACTCTCCCCACCTCCGCCATAGGATTCACCCCCTTCAAGTGTGTTTTTGGTTACGATCTCCCTCTTTTTCCAGACAACGCCCACGCTTTTTTCTGACATTGCCGTCGCATCTGGGCATTCGCCAGACAGGTTCTCACCCGGCAGAAGGCCTGAGTAAAGAATGCCACAGATCGGAGAAGGGGACCTGCGCCAGAGTATCGCACCGGCCAGCAAGTGTGGCTCTCCACCAAGGACCTTAACCTAAAGGTTAAGTCCAAGAAGCTGGAACCACGTTTCGTGGGTCCCTTCTTCATGTCTAAGGTCATCAATCCTGCTGCGGTGTGTCTTCGCCTTCCCCTGTCCCTGCGGATCCACCCCATTTTCCACGTCAGCCATCTCAAGGACAGTTCCCTGGTCCCTGCGGCGCCTCCACCCCCACCCCAGGAAATTGCAGACGGCGGTCCCGTCTACAAGGTTAAGAAACTGTTAGCCATACAAAACAGGGGCTGGGGTGGACTTGGAGGCGCATGGCCCGGAAGAAAGACTCTGGGTTTCATCGAACATCATCCTGAGGGGGGGGGGGGGGGGGGGGTGTGTCACGGCGGTGAGGTCTAGCTGGGGTTTTTGTCCTGTATCCATGGTTTTCTTGTCATTTCCTGTTTTATTTTGAAAGGTACAGCCCCTTGTTTCAGGTCACTTGCACTTCCTTGTATGTATTTCCTCGTATGAGTGATTATTCTTTTATACTTTTTAGTTTTTCAGTCTAGTCTTCGAGCGAGTATTATTTTGGTACTTTGTCCACAGTTTTGTTTTGCCTTGTATTGAGTGATTATTAATTTGTACTTTTTGCCTTGTCCGTCCACTCCCTGCGAGTGCGTCCTAAGTTCTATACAAGTTTTTTGCATACAATCTCCGCATCTGAGTCCTGCCGTGAGTTCCGATATTGACAGGGCCAGAGACTACACATCACTCTTCCAATTTGCTTCACTGTCACGTGACTGCTGACACTCACTATGTGGAAAAACCTTCTTCACTTTAAATGAAGAGCGTCAATCCGCATTGACGCTTTTCATTTCGTTTGCTCTTTTTATTATCATTAGAAAATCTTTATCAACCAGGATTTCACCATCCTCCTCCAAAGAACATCCTACGTCCCCTGCTTTAGTCTGTGTGGTCATACTGTCAGTGTGGGCCTTCTCACTGACTCCTACTACTGAACCAGAGATATCAGCATCAGAACCAACAGCACCAAAATCCCTGCTATCCAGACCAGGAACTCCAGGGGCCATCAGAAACTAAAACGAGAGTTACGTGTGTAACTACGGTTCTATGAATCCCAGATGACCGCCAGAGGGCGGTGCTGAAAGCACTTAATGACTAGTACCAGCGATGTCACAAGGAATCCCGAGCACATACCTCACGGAGAAGGCCCAGAAGACCCTTGTAATAAAACATCTCCCAGAGGATGAGAGGAGGCCACATTCACATTGTAAAATCTGGTGAATGTGCTTGGAGAAGCCCATGATGCAGCAGCACATATAGCTTCCAGGGGAACCCCTCTTAAGGCTGCCCAGGAAGTGGAAACGCTCCTGGTAGAGTGTGCCCTCACGCCGACTGGCATGGGTCGGTGCCCTGCAGCGTAGGCATGGCAGATTACATCCACAATCCAATGGGAGAGACGCTGTTTGGACAGGGGACAGCCCAACCTGGAGCCCCCATAACACAAGAACAGCTGGTCTGAGCGTCGTATACCAGCAGTGGCTGCAATATAGGCCTCCAGAGCCCGCACAGGGCACAGTAACTCAGAACTATCACAGACGTGTCCTGATGTAGGCTGAAAACGCGCCAATCTCAATGGTCGGTTACAGTGAAAATGAGAAAACACTTTAGGAACAAACGCCGGGTTTGGCCACAAGGTAACACCAGAGCCATCTGAACTCCATCTGAGACAAGATGGGCTGACAGAAAGGGCATGTAGCTCACTGACCCTCTTAGCTGAGACAATAGCCAACAAAAAGGCGGTTTTACATGACAACCACTTGAGGTCCGCCTGAACCAAAGGCTCAAATGGAGGGCGGCACAGAGAACTGAGGACCAAAGACAGGTCCCAGACTGGTGCTCGTGGAACCATTGGCAGGCGCAGTCTACGAGCACCACGCAGAAAAAGAGAAACCAGATTATGGCTCCCGACTGTACAGCCATCAATGTCAACATGACTAGATGAGATAGCCGCTACATATACCTTAAGCATCGAAGGAGAGCGGCCTTTATCAAAAAGAGACTGAAGAAACTCCAAAATCGTGGGCACCGCACAGGTGACCGGATCATCATAACGGGCAAAACACCACTGGGAAAACAGACGCCATCTGTTTTCATATTGCTGACGAGTGGAGAGTGCTCTGGCACTCTAAATAGTGTGCCTGATGGAACCTGAATATCCAGTCAGCTGCTGTTCGAGCCTCCCAGTGGCCACACCCACAGTCGGAGGCGATGAGGATCTGGATGCCATATCTGGCCCCCCAACTGAGATAGTAAGTCCCTCCGGGTTGGAAGACACCATGGGACCCCGTGACACAGATTCCATAGAAGTGGAAACCATGGCCGTGCTGGCCAATACGGAGCTACCAGCAACATCCTGTGGCCCTCCTCGAAAACTCTCTGAAGAGTTGGCCAAATCAGGGAAAGGGGTGGAAAGGCATATAGAAGGACCCTGGGCCAAGGATGGGCCAAGGCGTCCTGGCCCAGTGCACCCGCGGCCCCTGTAAGGGAAAACCATAGAGGACAGTGAGTCGACTCCTCTGTGGCGAACAGGTCTACCTCCGCCTGACCGAAAAGGTCCCAGATCAGGCTGACCACGTCGCTGTGGAGGGACCACTCTCCCAGAGCCGGTGCTCGCCGGGAAAGGGAGTCTGCCACCCCGTTGCACAGACCTGGCAAGTACACCGCCCGCAGGGTGCATAGGTGAACAGACGCCCAGTTCAGGAGGTCCCGGGACTCCTGCAGAAGCCGAGCTGACCTGGTGCCACCCTGGTGGTTGATGTGGTAGACAACAGAGGTGTTGTCCGACCGAATCAGGACATGTCTTCCCTCCAAGTGGGGCAAAAAGTGCCTGAGGGCCAAATGCACAGCCTGCAGCTCCAGCACATTTATATGCTTGGAGCGATCCAGTGGACCCCAGAGGCCCTGAACCGCCCTGTGTTGTCATACGGCGCCCCATCCCGTGGAGCTGGCATCCGTCGTGATCATTTCTCTGCGACACACTACTACCCCCATGGACACACCCCTGGACAAATAGGCCCTGTCTCTCCATGGGGTCAGGGCATGAAGACAAGGCCATGTTACCACAAGTTTTCGATTCCGGTGTAGCTTGGCATCCAGGTGCCAGCTGTTGATCCACCTCTGCAAAGGGCGCAGTGACAACAGACCTAAGGGCACCACCCGAGTAACCAATGTTAGTTTGCCCAGCAGCCGCAGGAAGGCAATGTAAGTAAGCTGCCTGCCCAGCCTGAATTGACTCATCAGCTGGAGGATGTCGTCCACCCTCGGGACAGATGGGTAGGCTGTCATGGAGGGATAATCCAAGAGCACCCCAAGAAAACTGGTCGTCTGCGACGGAATCAGACAGCTCTTCTCCAAGTTCACCTTGAGGCCCAACCGAGACACATGAGCGAGCAGGCGGCTCGTATCGCGAGACGCATCCTCTCGAGACGGGGCGCAGAGAAGCCAATCGTCGAGGTACGGAAGAACCTTCATGCCGCGGGCCTGCAGAGGAGAGAGGGCCGCCCTCACGCACCGAGTGAACACCCTCGGGGAAAGGGAGAGGCCGAACGGGAGCACACAGAACTGCCAGTGGCGACCCCGATAGGCAAACCTGAGAAAGCGGCAATGTTCCGCTGCAACAGGTACGTGAAAGTACGCATCCATAAGGTCGATCGAGGTAACCATTCTCCCCTTGTCACAGCCCGAAGAACCTCTGCAGTCGTGAGCATGTGAAAAGGCAGGACCTTTAAATACTGATTGAGTCCCCTGAGATCCAAAATGGGACGAAATCCACCTGTCTTTTTTGGCACGAGGAAATAAGTCGAATAGTAGCCTCCTGGATACCGCAGAGGATCTACTGCCTCGATAGCACCCTTGGCCAGGAGGGCGGAAAGCTCCTGGTCCAGGGCTTGAGCTCTCACCGGGTCGGTGATGACAGTCACCCTGACCCGGTGTGAGATGTGTGGAACTGTAGCCGGTAACCATGGGTCAGAGTGGCAACCACCCACGGATCCACAGCGAGAGTAGCCCAGTAACCGAGCTGCTGATGGGAAAAACGTCCGACGGCTGGCCTGGCAGCATCACCTTCTCTCCCCACGACCCGTAGGGATCCTGGGGGGGCGGCGGCCAGAGTCTGCGGCCCGGGTGGGCCTGGTTGGGTGACGGCCTGGCACACGAAAGTCCCTGCTGGGTCCCTGCTGTACCACACGAGGGTGAAACCCACCAGGCCGATCACAACCCCGAGGCGGCCGAATGCCGGGGCTGACCGATGGGCGCCTCGGATCATGAGGAGGAGGGGGCATACCTCTGCTGAGGCCTGAGAGCTGTTGTCTAGTCTGCCGCGCCTGAACAGTTCGCTGCAGCGCTTCCAAAGCAGCAGACCCGAATAACTCCCCTGGCACCACAGGGACACTGCGGAGGGTCCTGCGGCATGTCTCAGTCAATGTAGACTGAGCCAGCCAGACCTGTCGGCGAGCCTGGACCAGAAAAGACATCAGACGCCCAAGCTCTCTGGTCATCAAAGCAAAGGCCTGAAGTGCTGCATCGCTAAAGCCAACAGCAGCATCAGCCCCACCGGTATCCTGAAGGGCAAACATGAGGTGTGCCAAGGAATTGCCAAGGCGGCCGGCACGAGCTCCAGCATTATAAGCTTTACAGAGGAAACCATCTGTAATGCGACATTGAGCCCGCGGGCACCGAACATCCTCACGCAGGGCTTCATCAGGGGACACAATGAGCGAGGCAACAGCAGGTTCGACCGCAGGCATGCGATCCAAGCCCGACTGGACAGAATCATGCATAGCTGCCAACACCCGACCATCTGCCGAGAGACGTGAGAAGGCTCTAGGGTCCCGCCAACAAGCATGCAACTCCCTGAGGTACTCTCCTGATGGAGGGACAGAAAAGGGAGAAGGAGCTCGTCCGCGCCTGAAAAAAGCACTGCCAGGAGCGGATTCCACCACTTGAGGGACATCCAGCTGCAGCTGTCTCAAGGCCATGCGCATAATGTCCTGCATGGAACCGTCACCCGAACCACTAGCCGCACTCTGAGAGTCTCCGAAGTGCGAGGCGACCGTGCCTCCTCCTCCTCCTCATTCCCAAAATGAGAGGCAGAGGCAGCCAAAGACAGCACATCCTCCTCCACAGCTAATTCTGGCATAGGTGGGGAAGAGAATCCAGTCATCGGAGCACCCGCCTGAGGTGCCTGAAAAAGGGATTTCATCTCCGCCAACTCTGCAGACAGTCGTTCAACCCTCGTGGAAAGACTCTGGTCAGATCTCGCTCGCCTCTTCTTAGGAGGAGCCACAGAGGATGCGGTCTCAGTCCTGCGTTTAGAGCGCCTGGGAGTGGCCACCTGCCCAGAAGGTGGAAGGTCAGTCCCACACACGGGGCGTAACTGGACCAGTCGAGCCACTTTTACAGCATGGGGCATGCAGCTGCAGTTCATGCAGGGATTGTCTGACAGGGCCTCAGCCAGGTGATCATGCCCGAGGCAGGCAGGGCACAGGTCGTGGCCATCATCCGCCTGAAGCGCGGCCCCGCAACCCGCACAACAGTGGGAGCCATCCATGGCCAAGCAGAAGGAGCCCCACCACTGGCAGACAGAGCTGCCTACGATCGGGAGAGGGGGCGGAGAACGCTACCGTCACCAATCACAACTGGGAGAGAGGGCGAATAGTTGGGCAACACGTAGCCCAACCGCTAACTCCGTTAGCCGTGCAGAACTC